GAGGAGCTGTGTGACGTGTCGCTCTGTGGTCGGAGGGAGCTGTGTGACGTGTCGCTCTGTGGTCGGAGGAGCTGTCTGACGTGTCGCTCTGTGGTCGGAGGGTCTGAGGTGTCGCTCTGTGGTCGGAGGGAGTTGTCTGACGTGTCGCTCTGTGGTCGGAGGGAGCTGTCTGACGTGTCGCTGTGCAGTGGTCGGAGGGAGCTGTCTGACGTGTCGCTCTGTGGTCGGAGGGAGCTGTCTGACGTGTCGCTCTGTGGTCGGAGGGAGCTGTCTGACGTGTCGCTCTGTAGTCGGAGGAGCTGTCTGACGTGTCGCTCTGTTGTCGGAGGGAGCTGTCTGACGTGTCGCTCTGTGGTCGGAGGGAGCTGTCTGACGTGTCGCTCTGTTGTCGGAGGGAGCTGTCTGACGTGTCGCTCTGTATCCAGGGTCGGAGGGAGCTGTCGACGCCGCTCCGCCAGGTGCCCGTGACGCCCCAGACGGCCTCGGAGCTGGTGCGGCTAGCGCTGCGGCCGGCCGACGCCGACTCGGACGCCGACAGCGACGTCGGCGACGAGCACGACGAGCACCTGGTTGAGGGAGCAGGGGCCGCTGATCAGCTGACCAGATGGGGGATGGGGTGCTGATCGGCTGACGGCCAGATGGGGGTGCTGATCAGCTGACGACCAGGGGAGATGCCGATCGGGTTACACAAAAGATACAGAGTATGCCCGGGGCAGGTGTGAATGGCGATGGCGACAAAAGCCCATGAGCATTGAGCATACTTTGTTGATAGAACCATTTGTAAATTTGGCGCTGTTGGGAAGCTTTGTCCGTGCCCGGGCTGCTCCCCTGAGTGCCGCCATGTATAATGTATAGTCTCTCTTGGAAGTATTGCTAAACTGTGAAAGGAAGCACGTCCGGTGAACCAACGGCTAAAATCGGTTCGACCCTCGCTCAGCCCTTCCTCCGCGACATCCTCATCAATCCCCCAGGTCAATTCGTTCAATGACTCAAACTAGCAGTCCTCCCTCGGTTGGGCTTGACGGCACCGTCGCATTGTGGTGCGGTGCTTTCGAGAGAGAATTTACCGTGCGCCGGATGACGGAGCTGTGTGTGCCCCCGGTGATACTGCAGCTGTGTGCTGTCTCGATAATACTGCGGCTGTGTGCCCCCGGTGCTACTGCGGCTGTGTGCCCCCGGTGCTACTGCGGCTGTGTGCCCCCGGTAATACTGCGACTGTGTGCTGTCTCGATAATACTGCGGCTGTGTGCCCCCGGTAATACTGCGACTGTGTGTGTGCCGCCCTGTACCGCTGTGTGTGTCCCCGGTGATAGGTACTGCGGCTGTGTGCTGTCTCGGTAATACTGCGGCTGTGTGCTGTCTGGGTAATACTGCGGCTGTGTGCTGTCTCGGTGTTGCCGCTGTGTCTGTGTGTGCCGCCCTGCACCGGGTGTCTGCCCCCGGTGACGCCGCTGTGTGTGTGCCTCCCTTCCCCCGGTGACGCCGCTGTGTGTGCCTCCCTTCCCCCGGTGACGCCGCTCTGTGTGCCTCCCTTCCCCCGGTGACGCCGCTGTATGTGCCTCCCTTCCCCCGGTGACGCCGCTGTGTGCCTCCCTTCCCCCGGTGACGCCGCTGTATGTGTGCCGCCGCCAGTCGGAGTCGCTGCTGGAGCGGCTCGAGCAGTGCGAGCTGTTCGAGCTCACCACCGCCGAGCGGCTCGAGGTGCTGCGCGTGCTCGTGCACCGGCTGCTCGACACCGATTCTCTGGCCGACCGGCACCGCGAGCTCTGCCTGCGCAGGGACGCCATCGCGCGCGACCTGAAGGCCCAGCGCAAGGAGGAGGAGGCGGCGGCGACGGCGGCCGCGGCCCCCCAGCCGGCCGCCGCCGCAGCCGGCGCCGAGGCCGGCCACCCGGAGAGCCCGGCGCCGGCAGCGCCGCCGGCCGACGGCGCCGACACCTCCATCGGAGACGGAGACGACCTCGCCTCGAGAACCAAACGGTCCCGGAGAAACCTGGAGCAGGCGCGCCGCGAACGCGAGGAGCGCGAGCGAGAGAAACGGGAGAGGTGAGCTGGCCACTGCGACAGTGGTAGTCGGTGGGGGCTACTGCTTTATCCTAATAATGAGATAAGTAAGGGGGCGCATAGCTCTCACGGGCCGAATAACTCCATTTTAGCCTCTTTGTGGAGTCTAATGCTATGCTATTCGCGGTACTGCTAAATCCGTGTTGACTTTGCGATGCGGGACGGATATTTCGAGTAATTAATTAACGCAGCGTCCCGTTCAGTTCAGATCGCTGTCGTGCGTTGCGACTCGTTGTGTCCTTGTGGATGGTCAGTGTCCGACCGACGTCCGTCCGTCCGACAGGCGTGAGAAGGAGCTGGAGGCGGAGCGGAAGGCGCTGGCCGAGGCGGCGCTGGCGCGCGAGTACCAGTCACTGAAGGCGGAGGCGGCGCGCGTGCTGCGCCGGGCGCCACTCGGCCGGGACCGGCACCACCGGCGCTACTGGCTGCTGGACAGCCTGCCGGACGGTCTGTACGTGGAGGCCGGCTGGGCGGACCGCCAGACCACCGAGTACCGCGTGCAGCCGGCCACCGACCACCACACGTCCTCTGACGAGGACGACCAGCCGCTCACCGTCGTACAGCGGCGCAGCCTGCTCGAAAAGGACCAGGTCAGCTGCCAACTTATCCTGGGTCAGCCCGCCGGTTTGGGGAGTTGTGGGACCTTCTCTAGGAAATGGATGAAATGTTGCGCTTAGCTTTCTTCGATCTATGTATATTGTTTATGGTATGAATCATCGCTTCACTGCATGCCTATTCACTGTTCGGTGAGCGTGTCTGTGCTCCCCTTCTCTGCCGACTGACGTGCCCCGGCGGCCGGGCAGACGACGGTGCCGGAGCCGGCCGAGAACCGCTGGTTCTGCTATACCACCCTGCCGGAGCTGGAGCAGCTCCGCGCCGCCCTGGCGCTCAAGGGCGAGCGCGAGGCGGCGCTGCGCGAGGCGCTGGCGGCTCACGACGAGCGGCTGCGCACCGCGCTGGCGGCCAAACCGTGAGTGGGCGGCGCCGCCGAGCCGCGGGAACTAGCGGGCGCTATGGCCGTTATTGTACGCAATTCTTTTGATACAGTGCTGCAGCGCTGATGTTATTTCATCATTTTAGGCTAGCTGTTATGCATAGAAAACGGCTTTCATATGAGTCATTGACCACAAAACTTTTAAGTCGGCTTGCTTTTTGGCATTTGAGGCTGTACATAATGTGATGTAGTGGCTATCAAGTTAGTTCCTTTAAAAGTTTTCGTAGAAGTTAAGTTCCAGCCTAGGTCCTTCGTTTACGTGGCGTTTGTTTTGCAGTGAACCAGTACCTGAAAAGACGAGTTTGACGGAGGCCACACCTTCCGCCGAGCCTGCGAAGAATACTCGAACGACCCCCACCAAGCCGGAAACGTCTGCTGAAACAGGCGACGTCGAGGCGGGTGCGGTCAAGGCCCCGGCCGAGGCCGGCGTTGATTCTGACAACAAGACGGATGTGAAGGTGGAGGCGGACGCGAATGCCAACACAGAGTCTGTCCGGGAAAGCAGAACGGAGCCCGATGAGCCCAGGCCCCGGACGGACCCGGAGCCGGAGGCGGAGGCCCGGGTGGACTCCGGGGCGGCCGGCAGCGCCGGAGCGGCGGCGGCGGCTGACCAGGAGGAGGCCGGCGGCTACCAGTTCCTCATCTCCACGCTGAAGGAGGACATTCTGGGCATCGAGGAGGAGCTGTCGGCCGGCTGGCTGGGCGCCGTGCCCGAGCCGGCCGAGTGGGCCGAGCGTGTGCTGGCGGCCGAGACGGCCGACCGGCTGGGCGCCGCCGTGCTCGAGTGCGAGCGCCACATCCGGCGCGACGTGCTGCAGGGTCCGCTGGCGGCCGGCGGCCAGCGCTGGGCGGACGCCGTGCGCGCCTGCCGCACTCTCTCCCGGCTGCACGTGCTGGTCGGCCTGCTGGACTCGGCCATCCGCTGGGACCTCTCCACCGCACAAAAGGTACGCACCTCTCCACCGCACGGGCCTCTCCACCGCACTAAAGGTACGCACCTTCCACCGCACAAAAGGTACGGGCCTCTCCACCGCACAAAAGGTACGGACCTCTCCGCCGCACTAAAGTATAGGGTGCGGCAAAAGGTTTGATATCTCACAAATCGTCCCTCCTTTCAATGAAAGTAATGCAACAGATTCATTACAACGGTCATTATTTTCTCCATGAAACTGGGACAACGTGAGAACACCAGCAGGTATGCTGGGCACAAAGTTATGAGATGCTAAGGGCTGATGTTTGCCCAGGTTTACCTGAGCGCCTTTTCGAGCTGTCCGGGGTCGCTGGGTGGTTCAGGCTTGTGAAGCTCCTGCTGCACGATTCTCTGGGTTATTTTGATTGGAGTTAGGTTAGACCTGTTCCCTAGCCATGTGCCCTTCGCCCAGATATCGGATAGATGCTCTTGGTACAGCCCACCGCTAAAGTAATGTGTGGTTTTACCAATCTCAACAGATGGCTTTGACCGACGATTTTTAAATGCGGACTGATTGAAAAAAGAAGACGTCAATAGATAAAGTTGTAGCTGCAAGGGTGAAGATACATGTAAGCTACATTTAAAGTCTCGTTGCAGTCTAGCTAATCGTTCCTAGGCTTCAGAAGCAGATCATACCCATGACTGAAACCACACATTACTTCTGCTGTGGACTGTACCATCTCGAAGTTCTGGCAGACCGATGAGCAGGAGCACCGTCCTGCATGAAAAGGCTGGCTGACCTGATATTCCGTTAATTTTGGTCCTACATGAGTTTTATGGGCCTTCAATACGAGTGTGTCTCTCCAATACCGACGGAAAATTGTCCCAGACGCCTGATGATTCTGTCAAGTTTATCTTTTAGCCACCCTTTTTGCAGAGTGCTCGGAGTTCCTACGTGATTTTGTCGTAGCTGCTCACCATTCCGTACAGACTACAGTCGTACAAAAGCAACTGCAATGTAAACCGTCGCCAGTCTATGGGCGTCTTCACAGGTGCTAACGTAAGGGAGTGGGGTCGATCGGACCCCCAGCCAGTGCTGGAATTGTCGTTTCGTGTCTTGGTGCCGCGCGGAGAATAAAATCTCTCCGGAGAACCGACATTTGAGAACCGACGGAGAGACTTTAAGAAGTACCGACTGCAGCGCCAGATGTTTGGCTTACTAAATGTGACAAGTGATAAAAAGGTGTTACTCTAAATATTATTACTGCACATTTTAGATGTAATGATAGCAGTTTTCCATCACATGGGCCGGAAATTTCGGCTGCTGGAGTATAAGCTTGTAAAGGAGAGCGAACTCTTTTGGACCCAACTAGGACCTAAGAGGGTCTTTTTCCCAACACTAGGAAGCTAAAAAATCTCGCCAGACACACCAAGAGATTGGAATACGTTCGAGGTTAGGGGAGAGCGGGGAGAGTTGTATCATGTCCAAGTTGTATCAGGGCGAATTGTGCCAAACTTATCCAATGGATGGCGCTCGCGACACGACCAGCCGACGAGGTTTTCCGGGCGCCATCTTTCCCCGTTCTGTCTTGTGGCTGAGTGGACGCGTCTCGAGGTGAGAGCCGATTTTATGTTTTTTTAATGTCATTCTAAAAAAATAAGTTGCAAGAAAATGTGTGTTCTGGGCATTTAGATGTGCACGAATTTGAAAGATCTCCGTAGCGGTGGTGAGGGTAGGTTCTAAGGCTGCGTGAGTGAAAACGGATTTCTCCAGCTGTCCGCTGTTTTTTGAGCACGAGTATGTTTTTTCCAAGATGGCGGCTAGGTACATGTTGTATCAGAGCCGGGTGGGGTTTGTTGTAACATGTATGTATGTATGTATGTATGGGTATGTTGCTTTTGATCGCGAAAGCTAAGCCCTGGCTCGCGTTTGTAGGTAGCTAGTCAATGCTCGTTCCATTTCGGCACAATGTGTTGGCTTCTTTGCTCTTAACGGGCCACTTTTGCGTCTAGTCTGTTGATGTTTCGTTCGTTTCGATGTTTCGTTGGGATTGCATTGACCTAAGTTTGGTCTAATAAAGTGAAGTCTTTGAGCATACCTATACATTGTATTAACCCCATTTAATGTTGCTGTTATGTTCAAAACCAGTAGCAAGCACACTCCCTGAAACGTGAAATAGTGATACAAATTACCCCACCATGTGATACAACTCACCCAAGCCATGGGGCAAGTTGTATCAAAAACATTGTTCTATTCGGGAGATCGTAGAAGAAAAACTGGTAGAGGTAGCGGAAAAGTTACTTTGCACAAAAAAGCAGAAGAATCAAGGAAGGGGAAAGTATGGAAATAATGAGTTTATCACGGATAGTTACGAGGTTATGGGTCTCGGAGTAAAAACTGATACAACCCACCCCACTCCCTACTAGACGTCAGCTTAGATTGTTGACATGGCCTTGACCCTGAGATCCATCGAGAGCAAAGGTGAAGTATTACAATTACAACTGTGTTACGGCGGGCACAGTGGTTCTGCTTCGCCAAAGCATTACTGTCCGTTCCTAGTTGACATATGCCCTAAAATCACAAATCACCATCAGAATCGCCCTGTGCTGACACACGGTCCTAGGTGGGGCGGCTGCCGAGCCGTGACCCGGGCCGTGGACGCGATCGGCGCCCTTGTCCGATAGCCGCCGTCGTGGCCGGCGTGAAGGTCAATTGGCCGCCGTCGGCAGCGGTCGAGGGGATCACACGATAGACTATCGGCCGATATGTGTCGGCGATGAGCGCTACCGAATTAATCCCGATCGGCCGCTGCTATCGGCCTTTTAATGGGCGTCCTGACAATGACACGTCTGATGGAAACCTACTGCGCTGCCGAGTTCCGGCTGGGCCGATAGCTCCCTCAGCCGCCGCCGCAGCCCGCACACTCAGCGAGCAGTGTTTGTTGTGATTGGCACTATCGACGGGCAGAAACGCGGACATCGTAAAGAGATTATAGGCTTTATGTGAATCACACACAGGTGCGACTTATCGGGTGACTGGGATGTTAACCCGCGCCCCGTAGGGGGGGGGGGAGGGCGAAACGGCCTCCCTGTCCTTTTCCGTCGATATCTCCTAAACGACTGCATCTATCGTCATCAAACTTTAAGAACCCCTCCGGCATCAATTTTACACATTATTACCAATTTTTCCTAAGGCTACGATAGGTTGGCCACAAATGACGTCAGAATGACGTCATGTTCCGCCATTTTTTGACCCTAGAAAGGTTTTGCGGGAACAGCTATCAGGCCTACAGCTTTGCAGATACAGAAAAATGCTCTGACATGAAAGGTGTAGAATTACCAGGGCTATAAGGCTACTATCTCGGATTTTTTGAAATTTTTGGATTTTGACCGCCAAAATAAAAAGTAATACATATTTGGATTTTATGGCAAAAAATCCCAAAATGTTTTGGAATTTCGCAAAAAAAAAAACGGAATATAGGTTATAGTCTCTACCTTCTTTCATACGCATGCTGAATTTGAGATCGGTGCCTCTTTTTTGGCCAAGCTATGGCGAAAAAAACTTCAATATTGATTACGTCAAACTTTAAACTCAATTTTAAGCAATTCCAGACCACGTAGCGCAAAACAAAGACCACGATTAGACTCCCTGTGACGAGCTACATCGAATCGATGCGCATTTTATACGAGTGGCAGAGTCCGCTGATAGGCCTACGGGGCGCGGGTTAAGTCATTGGATGAGTGTATGTTTGTGATGACCCTGGCGCTGGTGTTCTCTGCGTCTGACCGCTCGGCTCTCTGTGCCGCCGCTGACCGGGCCGGCCGGCCGCTGCTCCCCAGAAATGCCGCGTGTGCCGGCGGCGTGGCGAGGGCGCGGTGGCGCTGTGCGCCGTCTGTAAGCAGCTCTACCACTGCAACTGCCTGCGGCCGGCGCTGCTCGAGGTGCCCGGCGCCGAGTGGCAGTGCTACGGCTGCCGGCCGGTGCCGCCGACGCCGCGCCACGGCCGCCGACAGCGCGCCCGCAGATACGTCGACGACGAGCCGCTCTACGAGGTAGGTCGGCCGTCCCTGCTGGCGCCCGTGCCGCCGGGCAGCCCGCGTGGGCCTCCTGTAAGCCGGCGTGCCCGCTGGTGGGGGGGGGGGGGGGGGGGGGGGGGGGGGGGGGTGGGGGGGGGGGTGGGGGGGGGGGGGGGGGGGGGGGGGGTGGGGGGGGGGGGGGGGGGGGGGGGGGGGGGGGTGGGGGGGGGGGGGGGGTGGGGTGGGGCGGTGAATCCTCCTGCCGTCGGGAAGCTGTGCCAGTTGCGGGCATTGGCAGATGAAAATTCGCGTGTTGTTTCGGTCAAATCTTCAGGCATAAAACTCGTAAATGGGGTGCAGGCAGACGGCTGGCATGTAGTAACACCGAGTTGGACGCTGTGTGGCCCACCGTGGTCATTGTGGTGTCAATTGAGCCACTACCCTGTCCTCTGCGCGCACCGACTGTCCTCCCTCGCTCCGCAGGAGGAGGACGGGGAGGGGAGGAGGAGGCGCCTCCCCCGAAAGAGGAAGTGCCGCGCTGCGCCTCAGCGGACCAAGGACATGATTTTCTGCACCAAGTGTCCGGCCGCGTTCCACAAGACGTGCCACGACCGCCCATGCTGCTCCGCGTCCGGTGAGCTGCCCGTGTAATTGCTCCGTCTGTGAGCTGCTCCGTGTAAATATCCGTCTGATGTGAGCCGCCCCGTGTAATTACTTCGTCTGCGAGCTGCTCTCTGTGTAATTTCTCCGTCTGCGAGCTGCTCTCTGTGTAATTGCTCCGTCTGCGAGCTGCTCCGTGTAAATACCCATCTGATGTTAGCTGTTTTATAAATGTCCGCCTGATGCGCGTTGTTCTGTGTAAATATCTGTCCTGCTGTGGGCTGTTCTGTGTAAATTTCTTGTTGACGTGAGCACTAAGCTGCTCCTTGTCAATGTCCGTATGATTTGGGCTGCTTCGTGTAATTGTTCCGTCTGATGTGAGCTGCTTTGTGTAAATATCCGTCTGATGTGGGCTGGTCTGTGTAAATATCCGTCTGATGTGAGCTACTCTGTGTAAATGCGTCTGATGTGAGCTGCTTTGTGTAAATTTCCGGCTGATGTGGGCTGCTCCGGCCATCATCGGGTCCTACGCTATTACTGTAGCTGCCACTTCCGCATATAAGCGCACATTTCATCGTGTAGGAGTCGTGGGACCCCAGAACCCATGGTTTTGTCATTTTTGGTTGTGTTTGGTGCGCTGTGTGATGTCAGCGTTTGGTATTGTTCGGCACCCCTCTCGGTGCCCGACTGAGTAGTGTGTAACGCGGTCTGATCGCCGTCCTGCCGCCAGGCCCGGATGGGAGTGCATGGACTGCAAGGCACCGCCCAGGAAGCGCGTGCGCGGCCGGCCGGTCGGCCCCAAGCCGCCGCTGCCGTCTGCGCTGCTGCGCCAGGCCAGGGCCAGCTTGTCCGACGGTGAGCAGGCAGAGGACAGGAGGAGGAGGCAGAGGAGGAGGAGCAGGAGGAAAGAGGAGGAGGAGGAGACGGTGGCGAGGGAGAGGAGGGAGGAGAGAAGACGAGGAGGAGGACGCAGAGGAGGAGGCGGCCGATCAGACGGAGGACGGTGCGCCGGCGGCGGAGGACGGTGGCCCGGCGGCGGAGGACGGCGGACCGGCGGCGGAGGACGGCGGACCGGCGGCGGAGGACGGCTCCAGTCCGCCCGAGGACGGTCGCTCCGGGCGGAAGCGCGCGCCGCAGCGCCGGCCGCGGCCGCTGGTCGCTGAGCAGGACGAGGTGCCGGCGCCGTCCCGGCCGGCCGGCGCCGGCGCAGTGTGGTCACCGCCGACACCGAGTCGGAGGAGGAGCGGCTGATCCGTCAGCTCAGCTCGGACGAGGAGGAGGCGGAGCCGGGCGGCCGGCGCGCGCGGCGCCGGCCCTCGCTCCGCCAGCAGCACGGCGGCCGCTGCCGCAGACAGCCGCGCAAACGGTACGCCGAGCGCAGTGAGAGCGACATGGAGGCTAGCGACGGCGAGCGGCGCGCCCGGCGGCACCCGAGCCCCCAGCGGCCGGCCAAACCGTCGCCCAGCAAAATAGAACTGGTGAGCACGGCGCCAGCGGGACTGAGTTTTGACAGTCAGTTGTGTGCTATCTGCGGCTCTGGCGTGAATCGGCCTCGGTGGCCACAGTGGTCGTAGGTCTGGCCCTTCCGCTGTGTATCTGGCCGGCTTACCGCTGTCGTATCTGACCCCCCCCCCCGCTGTGTATCTGACACTGCCGCTGTGTATCCGACCCTCTGCGTCGCCATCAGTCTCCACACACCGCCCCGCCCCGGCACCGTTAAGGCAACGTTCATGTTGTTGATCTCAACAGTGGCCGCGCCGGGCAGTCGGGTGACCGGCAGAAGGCTTGGCTTTCCCGGCGGCTGATGGGGAGGGACCCTGACCCTGACCCCAGTTGACGGGGTGGCACGAACGGACGGCCCAGTTGGACACACTCGTCCGCCGGAAACCCGACTGTTACATATCTCCTTTTCAGGTGACAAGCTGTTAGTGACAAGGCTCCTGCCGTCCCCTGACGCCCCCCCCCCCACCCGCCCCCGCCGTGGCCCCTGCCGTCCCCTGACACCCCCCCCCCCCCGTGGCCGCGGCAGGTGCAGCAGGTGGGCGCCGTGTGCATGTACTGCGACCTGCCCTCCTCGCGGCGTAACGAGCTGGCCGTGTGCCAGTCGTGTCCGAGCATGTACCACCGTCGCTGCGCCAGCGCGGCCGGCCTCGTGGACGCCTGGCAGTGCCGCCAGTGTGTGCTGCCTGCCGAGCACCGCGCCCGTCCCATCCGACCGCGCATCAGCCAGGTACGGACGGCCGCCGGCGGCGGGCTCTCTGGTCTGCCGCACCCTGACTGCCGCCGCCCCTGACTGTTACCGCCGCCCCTGACTGCTGCTGCCGCCCCTGACTGCTGCCGCCCCCGACTGCCGCCCCTGACTGCTGCGCCCCTGACTGTCGCCGCCCCGACTGCCGCCGCCCCTGAATGCCGTCCCTGACCGCTGCCGCCCCCGACTTCTGATCCCTCCCTGACTGCTGCCGCCCCTGACTGCCGCCTCCGACTGCTGCCGCCCCTGACTGCGCTGCGGCCCCTGACTGCTGCCGCCCCTGACCGCTGCCATCCCTGACCGCTGCCGCCCCTAACCTCCTGCTGCCCCTGACTGCCGCCCCTGAATGCCGCCCCTGACTGCCGCCGCCCCTGGCTGCCGCCCCTGACTGCCGCCCCTGACTGCTGCCGCCCGGCCTGACTGCTGTCACCTCAGCAGTTGTCCTTGACAGGTGGGACCCCTGACTGCAGAGGGCTGGCACCCCTTTACCTGACACCTTTTAGCTGTTGCCCGGCGTACTATGCCCATTTGCTAATCGGGCGTCCGTAACACTGCGCTGGGACCTGCTGCCTGTAACCTCGTCAACTGTCTACCTTACACCCTGACCGACTGAACCCCCACCCCCTCACTCACTTCTCTCATTCCTGTTAGTTATCTCACCCTCTAACCTTTTTGTTCATCTCTCCTGTGATCCTCTTTCTAGGCCGCCATTTGTGCCCCGTGCCCCGCCCAACACCCTTTGTTCCCGGTCCCTCTCGGATGCTCCCAGTCTCCCATATGACCGCTGACCTAACTGCCCTGATCATTGAATCATGTGGCCAAGGCCGCGCCCGATTGGTGGGCGCCGCGTCTGTGCACTGTGCAGCTCCCCCGCCGCCTTCCGGTGCTCGTTCTCGGCAATCGGTGCGGCGCTGCGCCATTTCCCCTGCGCCCGGCCTCTGCCGTGGTCTGACCGGATGGTCATGATACCGCCGACTGTACTGTGCACGTCCGTCCGGCCTGACGCCCCCGCTCGGCCGCGCTCGGCGGCGCGCGGGGGCACGGCGGGTGCTCACTAACGCGCTCCCCTTTCCGTTTCAGGATTTCGAGTATGAAGAGTGAGGAGATAGACGCTGTTAGAATATTTTCGTACTGTTGTACAGGCCGGCCGGGGCGACCGACGGGCTGTGTTGACGTCGGCTCGGTGGCGGTGAGTGGGGCCGGGCACGGCGCCCCCCCCCCCCCCCTCCCTCCCCTCGCCCGCGCCCCACTTCCACACAGTGACTGGCGGAGGCCGAGGGAGGGGCACTCCGGTCACCGAGTGTGCGCTTTTTCGCGGACTGTGAGCGAGTGAGCGCGTTGTTTTGAGCCCAGCGGGGCGCGACCGGTCGTTGGCGAAGAGAGCGACAGTGAGCCGCGGGTGGGCGTCCCGTCGCGACTCCGGTCGTCTGTTGTACGCTAGTATTAGCTGCGCCGCGCGCCCGCGCGCGCCTGTGCTCGTTGCCGGTCATTCCTTTTAGCGTAGTCGGCTGTGGCGGCGCGTCGGCCGCCGTAACTCGAAGGCGACCCCAGTACCTGCTCCCCTGGCGGCGGGCCGCCGCCGCGTAGTCGGTGTTCGGCCTATTTAAATGATGTTTCTGATGCTCGAGAAAAAATATATGACTTCTACTTCCCGCCGGCGTGTGTGAGCGCCGGACAGAGACGCACGCAACAAGACGGGGTATCGTGGCAGCTGGTGTATTCTATCGACTATGTGCACAGTAAAAAGGACACGAGAGAGTCGCATGCTTAAAGACGAAAAGAAGACATCACCGACATCGAACCCCAGATGAGTGGAGACGTGCCATATTGTAAAAATAGAATATACCGATTGGACTAACATCATGATTCGCTCATCCAACAATATGCTTTATCGTTCAGGAGGGCGTAAACACCGCTCAGATATATAATGATCACGTCACTTCGGCAGTTGTCAAAATATCGGCCAGGAGGCATAAAATTCGCCTGGAATTACCACCTTGCGCGCACGGATAACCGGCTGCGCAAGCCAAAGCACCACCTAAAATAAGCTATAAAACTAGCCGTCGCCTTCGTTTCCACGCGCCGGCCCGCGCTACGTCACTATGCGGCCACGCAGTCGCCCATTGTACCGCTGTGGCCCGCAGGACGCCGCGGCCGGAGCCGGCTTAATGACATCACATGATATTGCACAAGCCACCCTGTGCGCCTACTGCCTAGCGACCACGTATAAAAATAATCAACTCGGGATCCTACTACGACCCGTGCGTACGCGTTTATCACAATATCTGTACCGCGCTCCCACGCTGCCAGTACGCGGGATTCCCCACAGGAGCAGAGGATGACTGAAGGCACTTGGGGCCCAGCTGGCGCCAGCTGAGCGGAGCGCCGCCGTGGGCCGCAGCGGCCCGATCCCGTCGCGCCGGAATGGAGCGCGGCCCGAGCGCCGGGGGCCGCCGGCGGAGCGGGCCGGGCTGGCTGGCAGTTTGTACTGGCGCGCGGCGGCCCTGCCGACCTCAGTGGCCGTTTGAGGTCGGCGCCGGCCGCTCGTTGAGCAGCAGCGGCGGCAGGAACTTCTTTCCACTGACGAGCGGCTCGAGGCCCTCTCCGGCGTAGGAGACGAGCGGCGAGATTTCGCAGAGCAGCGGCTGCTCGCGCTGCAGCCACGCCTTCTGGCTGTGAACGGCACGAGGGGAGGGGGTCAGCCGGGATTGGGCAGCCGGGTCAGGTCAGTGCAGCGGCAGGGGCGGTGCAGACTGCGAGTCAGTCCGAGGCTAGTGTTTGACTTTGGATAAACACTCCTAACACCGGGGGTAACCATGAGAGACTAGACAAATTAAAAACTCGGAATCTACAAAAAAAAAAACAATCGCAGTAGGATGACAGAAGCGTGTGATGCATGCCTTGTTGCGATTAGCGATTGTAGTTGCGCTCTGAATTGGACGGGCTGCGGGGATAGATGTTCGGCTCGGCCTGACTTCACTCGGTGGATTGCTGCCGCCGTATCGGTCCCGTCGGCACGTCCGCCCGCCAGGGTGGGGATGGAGCCGCCGAGGGGGCAGGGCGGGGCTGCCGCCGTCATCCCGTACTCGAGTTTGTGATGCGGCAGACGGAGGTGGAGATTGGCGATAGGTGGGAGGTAGATAGGGGCGGCTGAGGGACGCGAGACCAGTACCCGGAAATGGGGGGGGGTGAGAGCAGTGAGGTGATTGGCGTATCACTGAACTCTGGCCTCGCGGGGGTGGGAGGAGTGTATGTCTGTGCGGGGTGGGAGGAGTGTATGTCTGTGCGGGGTGGGAGAAGTGTATCCGAACTCTAGTGTGGATGGGCGCAGTGGGAGGGGCCGGTTGCGGTACTCACGCCTCGTTGTTGTTGGCCTCCTCTCCGTCGACGGCGGCCGGGCTGTGGACAGATGACGGGCTGGTGTCAGCAGTGGTCGGGCTGGTGTCAGAAGGTAGTCACCAGCGGTCGACCGGGGATCTGGGTGTACTGCGACCATCAACACAGACACCGGCCACATAGTAGGTAGGTATGTAAGTACACTGGCGGGCAGCGCTGACGGCTGCCTCAGCGATACTCTCGGGGACGGATTTACCGCGCAAAGACGCATAAGTATACTCGTACACTTGCCACTGAAAAACGCGGCAGGCAAAACGCACGTCTGAACAATATCAAGGCGGCAGAGAGCGGGCAGTTGGGCGCCGATGACACCAGTGCCGCCCGGGTGGGCAGGGGCGGGTGGACCGCGGAGGTCGGCCGGGCCGCTCACCTGGGCATCAGTGGGAGGGGCTCTCCGTTCTCGGTGACGAACTGTCCGCCGGCGGCGAGCACGTAGCGCTGGTGGAGCGAGCAGAGCGCCAGCCGCGCCGTGGTCGGCGTGTCCTTCTCGGCGCCGTCGGCGTTCTTCAGCGGCGAGAACTCCTCCTCCCGCGGCACCTCCCACACGGCGAAGTTGCTGCCGGCGGCGCGGGCGGCGAGTCAGCACGGGCAGGCAATTGTGGCGGAGGGACGGCATTGGTTGCCGCACGACACGGAATTGCGAAGTTGACTGATGGTCTTGGTTCATACAACCCTACCCTGTGTTGGACCACATAACATAAACGGAACGACGGGCCCTCCGGATGTAACAACAATCAAGCGGCCGCCCAGTGACCGAAGTTCGAGGGCGGACCCGGTGACGAGTCACTGTCGGATCACATGCGCGTCCGATCGCGCCCAAGGTCTCGTACATCGTATGAAGTTCATGCCTCTTACGTATTACAGTTTGGCCCTGGCATGTTTCAGCCTGCTGACACCCATTCACAATATTGGCCACCAGCGAAGGTTCAATAATCAAACGGGTCATCCTCAGCGATAAGCGGCGCCCCTGTCGCAGGCGGATGGTGCCCGCGTGAAGGCGGCGACCCGTTAATTTTCCCGTGATCCACATTCCTCGCAGGCAAGGACGACATGTGCCGTCTGGGACGCTGTCCTCAGGCACAGAACACCAGGCTACACTTACTTGGCCACCTGGAAGACGTCAAAGACGAACTTCTCCATCTTGATGCCGTTGGGCTTCTCGGGCTTGCGGGTGACGCCGTCGTCGTCCACGTAGGGGATCTTCTTTTTGGCCACGTGGTGGAGCAGCGCCGCCTCGCGCTCGTTCACCACCAGGTCCAGGAAGTCCACCGTGAAGAAGTGGTTGGCGATGTTGCCCGTGCCGAAGGTGAGGCGGCCGTCGGCGTTGCGCTTCTGCGCCGTCTTCAGCGTGATCTCCGAGTACTCGACCACCTGGTAGTGGCCGTCCACCTGGCAGACCACGCCCACCGGCTCCTCCGGGAACGCCTTCTCCACCACAGGGGAGGGGAGGGGGCGTCACACACGGCGGGGCGCACACGGCAGGAGGCGGCTGGCACGGGGTGGAGAGTGGAACTAGTCCGTCTCAGTTCTGACCCCACCCATTGGAGCCATTGTGCATCACGCGACATTCACGGACTGATAACGGTGACAATGGGGGCCACGCCTTCCTGGAGGTGGTTGTGAAAGGTGGAATTTGTGCAATGTGTTGACGCAAGGCGGACTTTGCGAGGCTCGTATCGCTAAAATCTTACGCCCTCATCGAACGTAAGTGAAACAAAGAAGCTGAAAATGACTTACGGCTGTCTGCGAATGTGCCAATTTTCCGCCCGTACTCGTTGCCTTTGCTCCTGGTACTTGTCATGGCCACCGCGTTTTATGACAAGCCAATATCCAGTACCAGAGACGATTCGCTCTTCTGCGGCCCCGCCCTCCCTCATTCAGCGGTCCACGCGCGTCACACGGCCGCTATCCGGGGTCAGTCGTGACGCGTCATACGGCCGCCATCCGAGGGCAGTCGTGACGCGTCACACGGCCGCTAACCGCACTCGTGACGCGTCATCTGATCGGCGCGCGGACTCGAGATTTTCGCGGCGATTAGCTGGATAGGCCCGCAATAAATCGGGAACGCACGTGTATCGCTCGTGGCGTCACAGCGAGTCGTATTCGCACGGTCAGGTGATGATAGCGTTCCTTGCCGACGTGGACTGACGCACGCTCGATAAACCTCGTCTCCCGGCATTTACGATGCGGCTGCACGTGTGGCACGCAAACGGTATATCGGGGTGCGAGATCTGACGAGCTGACGACGCACGCGCAGGTGGACGCCGGAGGAACAGCGCCACAGTTGATTCGAGTGGACAATGCCAAGGGTCAAGGAAGCTGTGAAAAAGAAAGGTTGTGTTCTTTTCCGTAGAAGTTGGTATATCAAAACCGTTTTCATGGCATTGTGCGCGTTGCTATACCTATCGCTAACATTTGACCCCTTATCTCGCGCCGACTGGGATATAGTTCTGGTTTAGTTACTGAGGTGGGCGTCCGCTGGGTGTGCCCGCTACCCCGCCCGCTCCTGCGGTGCAGCAGCTCCGGTCAAGGTCAGGTGTGTAACGCCGGCGGGCGGTGAGATGGCCGGTCGGACAGGGCGGGGCGGGGGGGGGACCGGGACGGCGCCGACACAGCGCCGGCCCCACCCAGACTCCGAGCAGCGGACCGAGCACGGCCCGCGGCCGTCCGTGGGGCGTCCCTGCGCCCAATTACGCCAGACCTTCACCTTGCTCGGACAACGAGAGTGGCTAACCTCGAGGGCGGCGACCTTGGCCTTACAGAGTTTGTGGTAAAAGTGGTCCGATGAGTCCTCCGCTGAGTTCGAAGTTACGCTACACGCCCTCCGGGGAAAGCTTGCTCCGAACACACCGGTCCTGCTCAGTCCCTAGTCCGGACAGCCCCGGACTGGCCAGGGGGGGGGGCTGGCTCCCCCCCCCAAGAGAGGTGGAGCCCAGGGCAGCGCTGCAGGGCGCCATCAGAGCCTATGTGGTGCACACAGGACACAGCTTGCACAGTGGGGAATCAGAGACTAAGGCGGCGCTCACCTTTGCACCGCAGTCGGCGCCACGCGAGATGCAGTAGCCCATGAAAACGGGGTCGGCCATCTTCACCAGGATGTTGTCCACGCAGTAGACGTGCAGGTACTTGATGCCGCGCCCGCGCATGTCCTGCAGGATGTTCTCACGCTTCAGCGCCCGGTACAGACCGCCGTTGCCGTCAGGCGCGTGCGCGATCTTGCTAGGCGACTTCAGGATGATCTTGCCGTCGAATGTGAA